ACAGGCGGAGACACACACGGAGACACACACGGAGACAGGCGGAGACAGGCGGAGACACATACGGAGACAGGTGGAGACACACGGAGACACACACGGAGACACACACGGAGACACACAGGCGGAGACACAGAGACACACACAGAGACACACACGGAGACACACATGGAGACAGGCGGAGACACACGGAGACACACACGGAGACACACACGGAGACACACACGGAGACAGGCGGAGACAGGCGGAGACACACACGGAGACACAGAGACACGCGGAGACACACACGGAGACACACACAGAGACACACACAGAGACACAGAGACAGGCGGAGACACACACGGATACACACGGAGACAGGCGGAGACAGGCGGAGACAGGTGAAGACAGGCGGAGACAGGCGGAGACACACAGAGACAGGCGAGACAGGCGGAGACAGGCGGAGACACACACAGAGACACAGAGACAGGCGGAGACACACACGGAGACACACGGAGACAGGCGGAGACACACAGAGACACACAGAGACAGGCGGAGACACACACGGAGACACACACGGAGACACACACAGAGACAGGCGGAGACACACACGGAGACAGGCGGACACACACACAGAGACAGGCGGAGACACACACAGAGACACAGAGACAGGCGGAGACACACACGGAGACACACGGAGACAGGCGGAGACACACACGGAGACACAGAAACAGGCGGAGACACACACGGAGACACACACGGAGACACACACGGAGACAGGCGGAGACAGGCGGAGACACACACGGAGACACACACGGAGACACAGAGACAGGCGGAGACAGGCGGAGACACACGGAGACACACACAGAGACAGGCGGAGACACACACAGAGACACACGGAGACAGGCGGAGACAGGCGGAGACACACACAGAGACACAGAGACAGGCGGAGACACACACGTAGACACACACGGAGACACACACGGAGACAGGCGGAGACAGGCGGAGACAGGCGGAGACAGGCGGAGACACACAGAGACACAGAGACAGGCGGAGACACACACAGAGACACACACAGAGACACAGAGACAGGCGGAGACACACACAGAGACACACACAGAGACACACACGGAGACACACACGGAGACACACACAGAGACACAGACACACAGGAGACACACACAGAGACACACAGAGACACAGAGACAGGCGGAGACACACACAGAGACAGGTGGAGACACACACAGACACACACGGAGACAGGCGGAGACACACACAGAGACAGGCGGAGACACACACAGAGACAGGCGGAGACACACACAGACACACACGGAGACAGGCGAAGACACACACACAGAGACAGGCGGAGACACACACAGAGACAGGCGGAGACACACACACAGACAGGCGGAGACACACACGGAGACAGGCGGACACACACACAAACACACACAGAGACAGGCGGAGACACACACGGAGACAGGCGGAGACACTCACAGACACACACAGAGACAGGCGGAGACACACACAGAGACAGGCGGAGACACACACAGAGACAGGCGGAGACACACACAGAGACAGGCGGAGACACACACGGAGACACACACGGAGACACACACAGAGACACACACGGAGACACACACAGAGACACAGAGACACAGAGACAGGCGGAGACACACACAGAGACAGGCGGAGACACACACAGAGACAGGCGGAGACACACACGGAGACACACACAGAGACACACACAGAGACACACAGAGACACCACACAGGGACACACACGGAGACAGGCGGAGACACACACGGAGACACACGGAGACACACACAGAGACACACGGAGACACACAGAGACACACAGAGACACAGAGACACACACAGACACAGGCGGTGACACACAGACACACACACACAGACACACACACAGAGACACAGAGACACAGAGACAGGCGGAGACACACACAGAGACAGGCGGAGACACACACAGAGACAGGCGGAGACACACACGGAGACACACACAGAGACACACACAGAGACACAGAGACAGGCGGAGACACACACGGAGACACACACAGAGACACACACAGAGACACACAGAGACACCACACAGGGACACACACGGAGACAGGCGGAGACACACACGGAGACACACGGAGACACACACAGAGACACACGGAGACACACAGAGACACACAGAGACACAGAGACACACACAGACACAGGCGGTGACACACAGACACACACACACAGACACACACACAGAGACACAGAGATACAGAGACAGGCGGAGACACACACAGAGACAGGCGGAAACACACACAGAGACAGGCGGAGACACACACGGAGACACACACAGAGACACACACAGAGACACAGAGACAGGCGGAGACACACACGGAGACACACACAGAGACACACACAGAGACACACAGAGACACCACACAGGGACACACACGGAGACAGGCGGAGACACACACGGAGACACACGGAGACACACACAGAGACACACACGGAGACACACACAGAGACACAGAGACACAGAGACAGGCGGAGACACACACAGAGACAGGCGGAGACACACACAGAGACAGGCGGAGACACACACGGAGACACACACAGAGACACACACACAGACACAGGCGGTGACACACAGACACACATACACAGACACACACACAGAGACACACACAGAGACACAGATACACAGAGACAGGCGGAGACACACACAGAGACAGGCGGAGACACACACAGAGACAGGCGGAGACACACACGGAGACACACACAGAGACACACACAGAGACACAGAGACAGGCGGAGACACACACGGAGACACACACAGAGACACACACAGAGACACACAGAGACACCACACAGGGACACACACGGAGACAGGCGGAGATACACACGGAGACACACGGAGACACACGGAGACACACACAGAGACACACGGAGACACACAGAGACACACACACAGAGACACACACAGAGACACACACAGATACAGGCGGTGACACACAGACACACACACACACAGACACACACAGAGACACACACAGAGACACAGAGACACAGAGACAGGCGGAGACACACACAGAGACAGGCGGAGACACACACAGAGACAGGCGGAGACACACACGGAGACACACACAGAGACACACACAGAGACACAGAGACAGGCGGAGACACACACGGAGACACACACAGAGACACCCACAGAGACACACAGAGACACCACACAGGGACACACACGGAGACAGGCGGAGACACACACATAGACACACGGAGACACACACAGAGACACACGGAGACACACAGAGACACAGAGACACACACAGATACAGGCGGTGACACACAGAGACACACACACAGACACACACACAGAGACACACACAGAGACACACAGAGACACACAGACACACACAGACACACACACACAGAGACACACACACAGACACACACACACAGACACACACACACAGAGACACACAGACACAGAGACAGGCGTAGACAGACACAGAGACACAGAGACACAGACACACACAGACACACACAGAGACACACACAGAGACACAGACACACACACAGAGACACAGACACACAGAGACAAGCGCGTCTCACCGCGGCGGGGGGCTCAGTTCGAGCGGGGACACACACAGAGACACACACACAGAGACACACACAGAGACAGACACACACAGAGACACACACACAGAGACACACACAGAGACAGACACACACAGAGACACACACAGAGACACACACAGAGACACACACGGAGACACACACACAAAGACACCACACAGAGACACAGAGACACACAGAGACACAGAGACACACGTAGACAGACACAGAGACAGGCGCGTCTCACCGCGGCGGGGGGCTCAGTTCGAGCGGGGACACACACAGAGACACACACAGAGACACACACAGAGACACACACAGAGACACACACAGAGACACACACACAGACACACACAGAGACACACACACAGAGACACACACAGAGACACACACAGAGACACACACAGAGACACACACACAGAGACACACACACAGAGACACACACACACAGACACAGAGACACACACACACAGACACACACACAGACACACACACAGAGACACACACAGAGACACACAGAGACACACAGAGACACACACACAGACACAGAGACACACACACAGAGACACACACACAGACACACACACAGAGACACACACAGAGACACACAGAGACACAGAGACAGGCGGAGACACACAGAGACACAGAGACACACGTAGACAGACACAGAGACAGGCGCGTCTCACCGCGGCGGGGGGCTCAGTTCGAGCGGGGACACACACAGAGACACACACAGAGACACACACAGAGACACACACACAGAGACACACACAGAGAGACAGACACACACAGAGAGACAGACACACACAGAGACACACACAGAGACACACACACACAGACACACAGACACAGAGACAGGCGTAGACAGACACAGAGAGACAGACACACAGACACAGAGACACAGAGACATAGAGACACACACAGACACACAGAGACACAGACACACAGAGACACACACAGAGACACACGTAGACAGACACAGAGACAGGCGCGTCTCACCGCGGCGGGGGGCTCAGTTCGAGCGGGGACACATACAGAGACACACACAGAGACACACACAGAGACACACACACAGAGACACACACAGAGAGACAGACACACACAGAGAGACAGACACACACAGAGACACACACAGAGACACACACACACACAGAGACACAGAGACACACACAGAGAGACAGACACACACAGAGACACACACACAGACACAGAGACACAGAGACACACGTAGACAGACACAGAGACAGGCGCGTCTCACCTCGGCGGGGGGCTCAGTTCGAGCGGGGACACACACAGAGACACACACACAGAGACACACACAGAGAGACAGACACACACAGAGACACACACACAGACACAGAGACACAGAGACACACGTAGACAGACACAGAGACAGGCGCGTCTCACCGCGGCGGGGGGCTCAGTTCGAGCGGGGACACGTCGAGTCTCTGAACCGGCGCTCCCGGAGACACGTGGAGACTGGAGGGGCGTGTCCTGGGGGGCCCGGGGGGCGGGGCCGAGCGGCGCCCCCCCCCCAACGTGGAGGCTCCTCCCCCCGCCGCGAACGCAACGCCAGCCCCTCCCCACTGAGTCTCGGCGACGGAGCGCGGACGAGACACCTGGAGACACACGGGGAGACACGGGGAGACAGGGGAGACACGGGGAGACACAATGAGACACAATGAGACACGGGGAGACACGGGGAGACAGGGGAGACACACGGGGAGACACGGGGAGACAGGGGGAGACAGGGGAGACAGGGGGAGACACGGGGAGACACGGGGAGACACAATGAGACACGGGGAGACACGGGGAGACGGGGGGAGACACGGGGAGACACGGAGAGACAGGGGGAGAGAGCGGGAGACACGGGGAGACACGGGGAGACAGGGGGAGACACGGGGAGACAGGGGGAGACAGGGGGAGACACGGGGAGACACGGGGAGACACGGGGAGGGGGAGACACGGGGAGACACGAGGAGACACGAGGAGACACGGGGAGGGGGGAGACAGGGGGAGACACGGGGAGACACGGGGAGACACGGGGAGACAGGGGGAGAGAGCGGGAGACACGGGGAGACAGGGGAGACACGGGGAGACAGGGGGAGACACGGGGAGACAGGGGGAGACACGGGGAGACAGGGGGAGACACGGGGAGACACGGGGAGACAGGGGGAGACACGGGGAGACAGGGGGAGACACGGGGAGACACGGGGAGACAGGGGGAGACACGGGGAGACACGGGGAGACAGGGGGAGACACGGGGAGACACGGGGAGATACGGGGAGACACGGGGAGACAGGGGGAGACACGGGGAGACACGGGGAGACAGGGGGAGACACGGGGAGACAGGGGGAGACACGGGGAGACACGGGGAGACAGGGGGAGACACGGGGAGACGGGGGGAGACACGGGGAGACGGGGGAGACACGAGGAGACACGGGGAGACACGGGGAGGGGGGAGACACGGGGAGACACGGGGGGAGAGCGGGAGACACAATGAGACACAATGAGACACGGGGAGACACGGGGAGACAGGGGGAGACAGGGGGAGACACGGGGAGACACGGGGAGACAGGGGAGACACGGGGAGACCAAATGAGACACAATGAGACACGGGGAGACACGGGGAGACAGGGGGAGACACGGGGAGAAACGGGGAGACAGGGGGAGACACGGGGAGACAGGGGAGACACGGGGAGACACGGGGAGAGAGCGGGAGACACGGGGAGACACGGGGAGACACGGGGAGGGGGGAGACACGAGGAGACACGGGGAGACACGGGGAGACGGGGGGAGACACGGGGAGACACGGGGAGGGGGGAGACATGAGTGATGGTGGTGGTGATGGTGGTGATGGTGGTGAAGGTGGTGGTGATGGTGAAGGTGGTGGTGGTGATAATGGTGAAGGTGGTGATGGTGAAGGTGGTGGTGTTGGTGATGGTGTTGGTGGTGATGGTGGTGATGGTGGTAGTGGTGATGGTGATGGTGGTGATGGTGGTGGTTAAGGTGGTGGTGGTGATGGTGGTGGTGATGATGGTGACGGTGGTGGTGGTGATGAAGGTGGTGGTGGTGATGGTGGTGAAGGTGGTGAAGGTGGTGGTGATGGTGATGGTTGTGATGGTGGTGGTTAAGGTGGTGGTGGTGATGGTGAAGGTGGTGATGGTGGTGGTGAAGGTGGTGGTGAAGGTGGTGGTGATGGTGAAGGTGGTGGTGGTGAAGGTGGTGGTGATGGTGGTGATGGTGAAGGTGGTGGTGGTGATGGTGGTGGTGATGATGGCGACGGTGGTGGTGATGGTGAAGGTAGTGATGGTGGTGGTGAAGGTGGTGGTGATGGTGTTGGTGATGATGGTGAAGGTGGTGGTGGTGATGAAGGTGGTGGTGATGAAGGTGGTGGTCATGGTGAAGGTGGTGGTGGTGGTGGTGATGGTGGTGAAGGTGGTGGTGGTGTTGGTGGTGGTGATGAAGGTGATGGAGGTGATGATGGTGAAGGTGGTGATGGTGGTGATGGTGTTGGTGGTGATGAAGGTGGTGGAGGTGGTGGTGGTGGTGAAGATGGTGGTGATGAAGATGGTATGGTGGTGGTGATGATCGTGAAGGTGGTGATGGTGATGACGATGGCATCATCATCATCATAGTGACTGCACAATAACTCCATCACTTTGTTCAAGAGCTCACAAGCATGGCCACCACAGTGAGACGGTGGACTTGTACACCAATGTGGCTGTAGCCTGATGAAGCTAGTTGTGATTCCTGGCGGAATGTCACGGGACTCAGATTGTAAATGTTGTGGCTTGGCTCTCCAGCACACTACCGGTGTGCTGTATTAGTATACTACACTACACTAGTATACACTATGATACACTATACACTACTATACACTACACAATACACTACACTACACACTACTATACACTACACTTGTATACACTATAATACACAATACACTACACTACTATACACTATACTCTATAGACTACACTATACACTACACTACTATACACTACACTATACACTACACACTACTATACACTACACTAGTATACACTATAATACACTTTACACTACTATACACTACACTACACACTACTATACACTACACTAGTATACACTATAATACACTATACACTACTATACACTACACTACACACTACTATACACTACACTAGTATACACTATAATACACTATACACTACTATACACTACACTACACACTACTATACACTACACTAGTATACACTATAATACACAATACACTACACTACTATACACTATACTCTATACACTACTATACACTACGCTATACACTACACTACTATACACTACACTACTATACACTACACTATACACTACACTACACAATACTATACAGTACACTATACACTACACTACACACTACTATACACTACACTACACACTAGTATGCACTACTATACACTATATTACACTATAATACACAATACACTACACTACACACTACTATACACTACACTACTTTACATTACTATACACTATAATACACTACACTACTATACACTACACTACTATACACTACACTATACACTACACTATACACTACACTACTATACACTACACTATACTATACACTACACTACACTATACACTACACAATACACTACACTATACACTACACTACTATAGACTACAATACTATACACTACACTACTATACACTACACTACTACACACTACTATACACTACACTACACACTACACTACTATACACTACACTATACACTACACAATACATTACACTACACACTACACTATACACTACACTATACACTATACTACTATACACTACACTACTATACACTACTCTATACACTACACTACTATACACTACACTACTATACACTATACTACTATACACTACACACTACACTACTACACACTACACTACTATACACTATACACTACACTACTATACGCTACACTATACACTGCACTACTATACACTACACTACTATACACTACACTACTACACACTACTATACACTACACTACACACTACACTACTATACACTACACTATACACTACAAAATACATTACACTACACACTGCACTATACACTACACTACTATACACTACACTACTATACACTACTCTATACACTACACTACTATACACTACACTACTATACACTACACACTACACTACTACACACTACACTACTATACACTTCACACTACACTACTACACACTACACTATACACTACACTACCCCAATTCGCTCGGAGGTTCGGGGAACAGTGGGGCACTGCACAATCGGCCCCTAAAATTCCATCAATAGGGGCACCGCGCAGCGTCCACACCCTAATCACAATCGTTTGGGGGGCTGGAGGTCTGGGCATGAGCGGTAATCCGATCTCTGTAACTCGAACGGAACAGGTTAGCCGGGGGAGCTTGTGGCGACTGTGTGCAGACTACCCCTACACCTGACATCATCGCAACTGTCTGGACCACAAGGTTGGAAAGATGCCCTCATTTGAACAATTAAAGGGGGCGTTTGGCTGGGTGCTTGCAAGGATTATTCAACATCGCCTCGCCAGGCACGCCGAGGAGAGGCTTGCGGAGCCCCAATGCGGTTTCAGGAAAGGGCGGTCCTGCGCAGATGCCATATTTTCTGGTCCGTCTGCTACAGCAGAGGTGTAGGGAATTCCAGCAAGACCTACATCTCTGCTTTATTGACCTGGTCAAGGCCCTATGATACCATCAGTAGGCCTGGGCTATGGGTTGTTCTTCGTGCTTTTGGAGTCCCTGACACTCTGCTCACAATTATTGAGGACCTTCATGATGGTGAGCGGGCCCGGGTAAAACTACGTGGCCGGGAGTCGGAGCCGTTCCCTGTACACCTTGGGGTGCGACAGGGATGTCCTCTGGCTCCCACATTATTTAACATTTATTTCGACCACGTAGTTCGTGAAACCTTCAATAGCTGTACAGGAGGAATCTCCACCTGGTACAGAAATAATGAGAGGCTGATCGATGCCCGGGTGCGGTCAAGGGATGGCTCCCTATTGCTCAACCACGTTACATATGCCGATGATTTGGTAATAGCTGCTCATTCAGAGTAGGAGTTGGAGACGCTGCTGCTGAGACTGGAGCGTGCCACTAAGAGGTGGGGCCTTACCATCAGCCCCACCAAAACTAAGCACCTGCCTGGGTATTTTGTATCATCCGACACTCCACCCCCACAACTCCCGATCGGTGATGGGGCAGTTATGGACAGATTGGAGAGTTTCCCGTACCTGGGCAGTGTGCTTATGACCGGCTCCGGTTTGACAGCAGAGGTCTCACTCCGAATCAGTCGAGCGGCAATATCTTTTCATCAGGCTGCGTAAATCTTCTGCTGTGTGGAAGCTTCCTACCTGGTCTGTCCCTCCGCACTAAGCTTCAGGTCTTCTCGGCCACGGTCATTCCCTCCCTTCTCTACGCTTGTGATACGTGGAAACACTCAGGCTCGTCCTGCGTACGATCCATCCTGGGTTCCACCAGCCCGCAATGTGTGAGAAGCTCACAAAATTCTTCAAATATCTGCACAGAGTCCGATTGGTGAGCTCCTCCGGCAGGCACGGCTGTGTTGGCTGTGTCAGAT